ACTGTTAGAAAATTCAAACACCAGAAATGACGACAAAGAAGAAACTAAAGAGAGTTGGTTGAAAACGATTAAAATTTTTATTTTCTATTATCTTTCACAGTTTTTTGGACAAAAAAAAAAATTACTGACAAAATTTTCCCCTATTATATTTGCATTTGCTTCTATTTTTCTTTTCTAAATTAACCTTGGCTTAGCATTTTTAAAAGGCAATATGATGAAGTAACTACAACAGCAAACTGTCTGTAAGGTACTGCAAAATTATACTGACTGTTTATGGGGTTTACTTTACAGCAGTTGATGAATTCTAAGAAAACTTCTCCTACATTGCTTACCTATCTTAAGAAACCTAAAAGGTTTCGGTAATCAGTTTTCTCGCTATCTTATGTCTCTTTCTACAAATCTGGATAGTATCTATGAAATTTTTCAGTTTAAAAACGACTTTTTTTTCGGCGATCTTCTTATGGCTGAACTAATCACTCAAAGACGAGAACAATGCACTAATACTTTCATTCGGATGTTTTCAAAACGTTCTTTTTCATTCGTTAAGACTAAATTTTTCGTAATAATCTTCCACGCAAGGTTCTTTATCTTCAATGTTCTTTCTTTACAGAATTTATTTTCAATTATTTTAAGATTTTTTTAAGTGCAAAATGTATTCTACACTATGGGTAATAAAATTTTGAAAATTAATTAACATTGGTTATTTAGATTTTCATTGAATTTTTGAAGTTACAGAGGTTAATTTCCTTGATTTTTATTTGTATTTGAACGTTTTTGTTGGTGAAACAGTTGTTTTATTTGGTAAGCATTTGAAAGAAACGTCTATAGCAGAATAATAGAACGTCCAAAGAGCCGATTAACCACAGAACTGTTAACAACTGCTATATTTTATATTGCTTTTTCGCTGTTCATAAATTTTTTTTTCAAGTTTTAAGAAAGAAATTTATTTTTTTTCTTGACTTTTACAGATATTTCAAAGTAGGAGGTTGTAAAAGAAAGTGATAAAACTACATTACTGGAATTATTGGTCAAAATGTATTTGATTGCCTGGTTGGTACAGCTCAACTTTTGGACATAAAAACGTCAGATTTTATTGTCTGGTAACTTTGCTTTCTATTTTCCTATATTCACATTTGAGGCTAATAACTGAAATTAAAATCTTATATTTATAATTCTGTTGTAGATATGTATTTTTGTTTATTTTTTTTGCATAACTTTTTTCTCAAGTTTTTTTTTGTTGCAAAGAAATAAGTGAATTAATGAAATAATAAATTTTTAGAATTTTTTATGATTTGTTCATTAGTTCTCCGGCATACAGATTTGTAATCTCAGTGATGGTACACAGTATATTTTTGAAGCTGTTGCAACAGATTCGAAGGGAAGTCGTAAATATCTTGTGTAAAGCTGGAGGAACACCGAGGAATCGTGTCTTTAAAATATGGTGAATAATATTGGTTAAGAAAAGTTCTGTAATTAATGGTTGCCCGTCTAATAAAAAATCATTTGTACTAAATGTTTCCATCATTATCAGAAGCTAAAAAAATGGTTTGTAGTATGTTGTCAACAGTAAAATGTTGCTTGTTATTTGAAGTTTTTTTGGATCTTTTGCTTACTTGTTTGAAATACTTAAAAATGTGCTCTCATTTCTGTTAATTTTGAAATATTGAAATTTTTTTCAGTAGAATCATAAGTACATCATAGGGACAGAAATGAACGTTATCTCAATTGAGAGATGAACCTGTAAAAAATGAAAGCGGAAAATGCGGCCTATCAAAAGAGGACTATTTGATAGATTTAAGAATACACTAAATTCTAAAAGTTTGCAGAAACTGTTTATAGCTACAGCCAAATTCGCAAATAGTTGTTCATTAAAGTTTACAGAAACTGTAGTTTCAGCAATCTTTAATGAACAACTATTTGCGAATTTGGCTGTAGCTATA